GAATGGCCAGGGTGGGTGGGGCCAGCGCGACGTCACTCATGTCAAGGGTGTCTGTGGTGGCCTAAGCTCTCTGCCAGCGAAAACGGGCGCTTGAGCTCCATTTTTGGCTACGACTGCCTCCTGCAACCCTCTATCAGTGAAAACAAAGCTTGGGAGTGCCACATGCAGCCTTTGTGAGCTGTTTTTGCTGGCAGAGGCACCACAAACAGGTCTTCTGCTCTTTCCAGGGTGGCCTCCTGGGCCAGATCTAAGCACCCTCCGGGCCAGAACTGGCCCCCAGGCCTTGAGTTTGATACCCCTGATATAGACTAACTGAAATGTCATACAGTAGCAATAAAATGTTACTAATATGAAAAAAAAAAAAGAATTGTACAAACCTATCCATCAACAGAAAACACTGCAAACAGAAATAAAACCCAACTTTTGTGAGGCTATTAAAACTTGGTGTAAAGTTATACAATAATTTTGAAATAAATGTTGAGAAGCTGGGTTTACTACATTAAATTTAATACAAAAAACCTGATTTTCATTCTTTATATATTTATGGAATACACACACATATAGATATATATAATGCTGTTTTAAATATAACATTCTGAGAGAAGCTTACAATAATTAAATAATAATTAAATAATATTAGTATAATATACTAATGTATAGTATAATACATATTCATATATTATTATTAATATTAATAATTTCACAATAATTAAATAGCAACATGGTAATAGTCAACAGGGTTAATTATTCTTGCCTCCTTATTTTTTAATATTTTTAAAAACAATTTAATTATATATATTCATATTTCAATGTTTCATTGTACATTCTCAGAGTCCCTCTTTGAGAGAGATGGATAGTATAAAAATGAGAAATATAAATAAATAATATAAATATAAATAAATAGTCAATAGTACATTCAATTTATAAGCAACCATATTCTTAATATGTTCCATTTCTACAAATGATGTAAACCAAGCTTACATTTATTGATAAGCTATGAGTAAAAGTGATAATATTAGAACTGGCCAATCACGATCTTTAGAAGCAACCAAATGGAGGGGAAAAAATGTCAAAAATGCTTTGGCACTTGATTCTTCCAATAAAGATACTTCGAAAGAACTCTGATTATGTATCATCACTCACTAATTTCAAGTTGGGGGTGGGGGAGGACAACAGCCTCCCCGCATTAAAAATTGGTTAGGCCTTTGAATTTGCATTTCCCCAACTTGATTTGATATATTTCTTACATATAGGATGGTGTTTATTTCTTAGCAATATGACATGTTAATTTTAAAAATTTAACCATTTTAAAAATTACCTTATACTATTCAAATAAGTATTTATACATAATTTTAACTTATCAAGCTGTAAATGCAATTTCCTGGAAACTCTATTTACAATCACTAAAAGGAAGAGACTACCCAAAGTTGCATGTGCTGAAGCATTCTCTACATCCTATTCATTAGCTCATCCTAGATGTGTGCTTCTGGATGGATCAGTGCAGTCTGTCATGCATTTTTGGTTATTTACAAACACAGCTGACATGTTGCTGACCCCTGTAATATTTGCCAAGTGCCTTGCAGCATCTCGTAATGGCCACTGGCACTGGTATATCCAAAAACCCTTCGAAAACACAACCTAACAGTACAGTACTGTCACAGTTTGGTATGATGAGACAGAATGTCCAAAGGGATTTAGGGAATTAAAGGGATTTAACTCAAGGGATTTAGTGATTATTAAACATGGGATTATTTTAAAATTTTACCTATAATTCATCTAAAAATAAAATACCTTTCATTTTAAGCCCAAGATCCAAAGTGTGATCTTTTGAGTTAGAAGCAATAAACCAAAGGCACATGCTGATGCACATGGAAGTGTTATTCAAGGTTACACTTAAATAATTTCAGTTGATTAATGCAAGATTAGTTTTCAGTCTGCATAATGTGCATATAATAAAAATAATAAATTAGATCCATATTTAGAAGCAGGCAATGGAGGGACTGGACTTTTTTCCCCACCATGCTACAGTCTGCTCACCAAAGGAAATCTCCGTCTGATTTTAGAGGATGTGTTTCCCCCTTCAGTTTTGAACACCATAACTTGCCTTATTCTCAATATCTACCATTATGTGGAGAAGCAGGCAGGAAAGTCCTTGCTATTCCATTTGCATGGATTTAAATCTAGATCCATTGAAGACAAAGTAAGAAATACTATCTCCTTTCAAGCAATGATAATGTACTACAACAGGTACAATATTTGCAAAAGAGCAGGAAAAACACTTCTTCTAAGATGATGGTGATTCTTGCAGTAATCTATCAAAAGCATAATGAATATTTGTGTTTAAACTGTAATAACTATTGTTTGTTGTATTGAATATTGTTACTGCAGAAAACTAGTAAAGCACTAAGTCTTTAAAAAAATCAAAAGGTGGTATCTGAAATTTCCAACACTTCTAATTAAAGTCTGTTACATGATTAATGATACAATTCTAAACATTTTCTTTAAGAAAATAATATAAATTTGTCAAAATTGATGTTTATAGCCAGATAGGTATAAAGTACAAACAAACCACAGTTGAATTTCAGGCAAATATTTTGGCTATATTTGTTGCTAAGATCAGAGTACTACTACTATTACTTTCGTAGTAAATAATGAGAATTTTAGAAATTATGGAAAACACTTGTATTGCTAAATCAGCTCTTTAAAACAGACTATATGTTGTGTAGCTTGTTTAAACTTGAATGTTATTTTCATTGCAAATTGTTGTTTTATACATGGCTATGAAGTTCATTTCAAATCATGGGTACAAAAAGTAATCCTGACCTTCAAGAAAAGTGGTAGAAGTTGCGGGGTGGAGAGAACATGCTCAATGCTAGTATAGCAAGTTCATGCTATACAGATGAGCCACCAAAAAGGAAAGGTTTTCACTTTTTCTAGTTGTTCCTACAAAATGAGGTGTGTTAATACTTACAACAGCAAGATCATGCCTACTAACATATTTTGTAGGAGTAAAGAATTGAATAATCTGTTCTCTGAAGAGGGAGGGAGGGAGGGAGGGAGGGAGGNATTGAAACGCAGTTGAGGTGGGCCTAAAGAAGGAAGAAACACAGGAGCCTTCCCTCGGTTGCTCAGTTTGGGCCAATGGCTTCTTCCCAGATGACCTTGGAGCTGAGCTAGCCCCCCCGCTCCCCGCCCCCATTTCCATTCTTGGGCGAGGGGTGTCTTTAGGGAAGGAGGCCCAGCAGGAGTCGGCCCCCAAATGGGTGGCTGCTTGGGGGGGGGCAGTTGGAAGACCTGCCTGTCCTTCTCCTCTAACCCTTTGACTAAGCATTTGGGGGGATGAAATTGCCACAGAGCCCAGCAAGAGGGGAGGATGAGATTCCCTGGGATCCCAAGGAAACAGAGGGCCCCTCTCTGCCTCTCCCTCCCCCTCCTCTCAGAGAGGGATTCAAGCAAGGGCTGTTGGAAACAGAGGGAGGGGGCGATGTCCCCCCTTCTCAAGGAGTCTCCCAAGCCATTCTGGGAGGCCCCTCTCCCTCCCCCGCCCTTCTCTTTGGGGCAGCAACTACGGAGACCTTTGGGTGGGGCCAGTCATCTAGATCCCTTTCAATCTGGGTCCAGGCCTGGGCAGGGGGCGGAGAGCTGAACAACGGAATAACAGATCTGGAAGGGAGCTTGGACGTCTTCTAGCCCAGCCCCCTACTCAAGTAGGAGACCCGGTGCTTCTGGCCAACGCTTGTCCACCCTCTTCTTGGAAACCTCCATTGATGGAGCATGTGGGTTGCTCTCGTGGGCAACTGCCTGGGTGGGAAGGCCTGGGTGGGGTTCTTCTGGGCATCATAGTGGCACCTGGTACCCCTTGCCCGATTGCCCTTCTGGGCTGCCTGAGAGGCTGGGAGTTAGGGAACTCTTTGGTGGCAGCTCTGCTCTTTCGGAGTAGGTGGATCCAGGTGTCTGTGTGGAGGACAGGTTGGGTCTCCTCAGGGTGGGCTCATCCATTTTCCCTGTGCTCTCCACACTGCTGAAACTGCTGGGGCAGCTCACCTCTCAGATCAGGTGCCCAGGACACAGCAGCATCTCTCTGCCGTGAGCAAGCTGGGATTCCCATCCAGATGTCCAGACGCAGTGGGGACTCTCAGAGGCGGGCGGGGCGATTGGTGAGCCAGCCAATCAGTGAGCAGGGGATGGGACAAGCGTAGTGGGGGGCGGAAGGAAGCTGGAACCGGTTCTAAACGGCACAGTAGATTTGTGGAACCTCTTCTATAGNTCTGGGTTAAGCGTCTTGTGTGAATGCAGCCTCTAAGAACTCTCTCTGTAGGGAAGGTAAGAAGTCATGGGCTGTGGGGGGGGGGTGAGTTGGCCAGGGTGGGGCTGCAGGGCAGCAGCCTGTGAATCCTCTGGCCTGGGCGATGGTGTTTCAGAGTGGGTCTGGGGCTTTCCACAGACCTGGGGGTATTGCCAGAGAGAAACGGGGCAGGAGAACTTGGGGTGATCCCCAGCCTGTGAATGGGAGTCTGGGTCCGAATGTGCCAGACTTCTATGGGACTCGAAGGGGCGCCTGGGGCATTAGACCCTCCATGTGGGGTGGGGATCAGGGGCTCCTGATGTTGCCTCCAAGGAGGCCGCTGAGTGGCTGCTTGACTTCCAAGGGTTCCTTTTTGTGGTATGGGGCCTCCCACAGTACTGGGATGTGGGGCATTCAGACTTCCTTCTCTGGCTTCCCCTCCTCCCTCCTCTCTCCCCCTTGGGAGGGATGGACCCTCACCTGGAAGATGCCACGATCTGTCATCGCAGCGGAGCAGAGAGCAGAGTCTTGGGCTTCAGCCAGGCACGTGGCCCCGGAGCAGGGATTTGGGTTTGTTTCCCGAGGCTCCTCCGCCTTCCAGCCGAGACTTTGCAGCGGATTGAAGGGGCTTCGGTTTCAGCTGGGCTGTCAAGATCTGCTTCAAGCAAGGGCAAAGCACTCACCACCACCCCAAACCTAACCAGGTTTACTGTTCCCATGTTTAAGCAGGGATCTTCCGTAGCCCAACGGCAGATAGAATCTATTGCTGTAAATGATTCAAAATAACATTTCAGAGCAAAATGTTCTCTGGATGAGAAAGACGGAAAAAACCTGGCTGAAATCTGGGGGCAACCCCTCCTTGGAGTCTGCATTTACAATTACTGCCTCGATGTTTTTGCCGCCTGGAATTTGCTGGAATGCTGAATCCCTGCAGAGCCGTCCAGAGCTCCAGTCTCTGAGCAGGCCTGGGTGTGGGGGCCACCTGGGGGGAGGAGGTCAAAGGGCATGCAGGGACAACAATTTGCAAGCTCCATAGGAAAGGTTAAGGGCCAGGAGCACAGAGCTGTAATTGAGTCATTCCATCAGAGGCCTCTGGATCAGCAGGGAAGGCTGCTTGTCTCCGGAGGAAAATGCCCAGACAAATTCCAAGCAGCAGGATGGGGGGGGGGCTCCTCTGCGTGGGGGCTGAAAGGTACCTGCCCCCCCCCTGCAGCCCTGGAGTCCCTCCTGCCCGGGAAGAGCTCCGTCTGGGCTGCAGCAAAACTCTGGGCTGGCTCCAGAGGCAGAGACCCTGAATGGCAAGTTGCAACCCCCAGCCACGCACTCCGTGGCCCGTGGGGGAGAGCCAGGAGGGTCCCAAGCGCCTTCCCAGTTTCCCACAGTAGAATGTGTGGCCGGCTTGAGGCCCACTGCAGAACCTGACACAGGACTTCCCTGTTTGGGAGACTCCCTGCAGCCCCCCTCCCCGCCTCCCCAGAGTTTGCAGGCTCCTGAGAAGGTTCTCCAGTGGAGATGGGGGCTCCCCGCCTCATCCAGGGAAGGGGCTGGCCTTAGGCTTGGTGTGCCTCAGAAACATCTGGCTTAGCCTGATGTGCAAATCTGGCCACTGTTCAAGAAGCCCCGAGGGACATAATTCTAGTTTTGTGTTGTCCTTGGAGGCAGGGAAGAAGCTCCTCCAGGAGGCCTCCTTGGAGCTGTCCAAGGTCCTGCTCCCACCCACCCACCCCTCTCCTGGGGCTCTGCCTTTGCTTGACCTCCCGCAGGGCAAGGAGGCGCCCAGTGTTGTCCCAGGGCCTCGGGGCCTTGGAGAAGAGGCTGCAGAGGTGGCAAGGCCCCCAAGAGACGGGCAGGAACTCCTGGGAGGAGGGTTTGGATTGTCCCTGGACTGCTTGTCTTGGAATTCCTCCCTAAATGGGGAGGCCCCTGGGTGAGGTGGCCCCCACTAAGGGCCCCCCTGCCATGGGGAGGCCCTTCTTCCAGGTGGCCCCTGCTGGGCTCCTCCTTTCCCCCTGGAATATAATCTGGGAGAGAGTTTTGGAGAAGAGTTTTGGATCTTTTAAGGAAAAGGTTGTACTGAAAGGAGTCTCCAAAGTAATGAAATAGGAGGAGAGAGAAAGCAGCTGCTACAGCAGCAACTCCAGAGGAGCCTCTGCCTCCCTCCCCTCCCCTCCCCCCACCTCCTTTCGGGCAGAGGGAAAACCTGCTGAGATCAGAGGGACTTTGGTCATCTCCCCCCTTCTGACTTGTGGACCAGATAAATGGTGACACAGGGGAGCAAAATGATTCTTTTTCAATGGGGAGGCTTGTTGAGGGAGAGGACAGTTATGGAGGAGCTGAAGGACTTGAGTGGTTGATGGTGGGGAAGCCCCCTCCCTCCCTCCCTCCCATGGAGCGCTGAAGCCCTTGGAGGACTCTGGCCCAGCTCCTCTCCCTGCTGAGGCCTCCGCTAAGCTTCCCCTTTCCCCCAGCTGCAAAAATAACATTGGCCAAGATGGGAGGGGGGGGAGGAGGAGGAGGATTCAGAAGA